AAAAAAAAAAAAAAAAAAATTACAAATTACAATTACAAATTAGAATCGAGTGGTAGGAATTATGTGATTAGAAATAGTTAATTAGCAACAGAGTTTGGCTGGTAATGCTGTTAGTGGTCTACTCATGACATTTTATGCAGACACTTTTGAAAGTTTGTGGAATTAATGCAGGATCATACACAGTTGAAGTTAGATCTAAGTAATATTTCTTCAAATTAGTTTTAAAAACATTGATAGATTGGGTATTGACCCTCAAGTATTCTGGAAGTGTATTAAATGTTCTTGAGGCTCTAGAGTAGAAACTATTCTGGAACGTAACAGTCTTAGCTTTAGGTATTTCTAACAAAATACTCTTTGATGAAGCAGTACGTCTAGTTACTCTAACAGGTTTTGATCGGCGAAATGTGGATATGATGTTCACGGTAGCTCGAAGTCATGATTTTCAGTCTTTTAATTTCTTTTCACTAGGTTAAAAACCCTTTAATAAGCATGTTGTGCAAGAAGAGTGCAACGCTGCATGAAACAGTTAACTTGGTAACTGACCAGAAGGCAGGAAGACAGAGAAGCCCAACTGAGATAGGTGATAATCATTGAACTATTTGTTAGTTATTAGCTTTCCTCAGATCTGCGTTGTTCTAATCAGCTTGGAGACACAGAGAGAAACCAGTGTGTCGGGAAATTGTTAAGCTCTTGTCTCTGTCATCGTCACTGTCTCTGCCAGTGAATGTCATTTAGTATCCCCAATTCAATAAGATTTAAAATTTAGTTAAAAGTAAAGACTAAAATGAGTGGATTCAGTAGTTCAGAGTCACCTATGTACACCTTTCGGATTGCTGTAAGACTTAAGAGACGAATTCTTCTTGTAGGTTGAAAAACTTAAACGGCATATAATTTGTAAGATTACTAGTCTCCCACGCAGCCGTTTTCTAGTCTCGTCACGCAACGCTCCTCAGTTTGTGGGGAGGAGCGTTGCGTGACGATACTAAAAACAGCTGCGAGGGGGACTATAAGGTTACCTTACAGCTCTCATTCTGATCTATTCCACAGTTTATCTCTGATAACACAAAGGATTCGTCTGCTGGCCACAAAGAACCAAGAAAGCAGTTGATGATCTCCATTTTATGACCTATTCGCTGGCATTCAAGTTCCTTTTCATTTAACAAGCGCGATTTACAGTGTGTACGGTCTACATCAACAGAATGTAGAGTTCGTCTTCATAACCATAAATCCCCCATGCTCGACAAAAAGATATTATCCGAGATGGCTATTTCTCGGCCGTGTAGCCCAGTTCCATTTTGTAAACCCAGCCTCTGCAGTACACCGCGGTTAAGTTAAAAATG